GGGGTCATATAGGATTAGAGGACGGTAGAGGTCCAGAATGAAAGAAAGTTGGAAAGGACACTAAATGTAAAGCAATGAAAAGTAATTGGTTTTATTTAGCTCAGGGGTTCTCAACCAGGGGCTATTTTTTCTCTTAAGGAACATTTGCCAATGTTGAAGACAGTTTTGATTGTCACAGTGCAGGATGTTCTGATGGTATCCAGGGGATAGAGGCCAGGCATTCCTGCCAATGATGCTCAGGTTAAGCACTGCTTCTCTTACACAACACTGTGGATATATTAATACTAACCTGTAAATTTTAGGTCCTGTATATTTTACCGTACTTTTAACAACAACAACAACAACAACAAAAAGAACCTGGGTCTTTATTTCCTGGAAAAATTTCTGTTTATAAGCTGGCTTCAAGGTAGTTTGATGGAAATAAGAAAATTTTTCTTCAATGCCCAGAGCTTCACTCCATCATTAAGGCTGAAGTGGTGAAATACACGGCACAGGTCAAATGCACAGATGCAGACAGGACAGCCCAGAGACTGAGCAAGGGGTTTGCAAACAGAAGGCGTAAATGATTCTGGCCAGTTTAATCAATAGACTACATTTATTGGGAGGCAGTGCAGGCCGCTGTGAAACCTGGAAGGGAAGCCCGGGCCCCTGAGCTCTGAGGACAGGACGCAGGCAGCTTCAGAGAGTCCCTCCGGGTGCAAGGGTAGCCAGGTTGCGTCTCTAGAGCCCCATAACCAGGTGCACTAGCTTCCAGTGTTTTCAGTAGAGTGTCTGATAGGCCACTGGGTCCTGCACTCCCTCTGCGCCTGGAAAACTTGTAGTGTCCTAAATGACAGCTGGAGAAGATGCTACCCAAGGGGGCGAGGCAGTTCCCAGGCTCCAGAAGTGTAGTGAAGGACTACTAGTCATATAAGAAGAATAGGTAAGCTGGGCGTGGTGGCGCACCCCTGGGATCCCAGCACTCGGGAGGCTGAGGCGGGAGGATCGTTGCAAGTTTGAGACCAGCCTGGGCTACACGGTGAGCTCAAGGCCAGCCTGAACTGCATAGTGAGACCCTGTCTCAAAAAGACAACCCCCCCACAAACAAAAACCAGTAGCAACTTCAGTTGCAATAAAGATAGTGCCTCCTGCTGCTTAAAGCAAAAACAACAGTGAAACAACAATGTGCTTAAATCGTGTCTATATTTGCTTACTATGGATGTTTCCATCTGTTTTGCCGTCTAAAAAATGAGGAAATGGGGTTGGATGACTTATAACCTTTTCACGGAGATGAAATGGAAGGGCCTTTTGTTTGGAGAGTCTTCGGGTGTTCGCCTTCACTTCATATTTTGCCTGGGATCGTGGATTCTCCTGCTCCTTTGTCCCTTGAATGTCTTTCCAATGCCTGTAGCGCTTACTCTGAGTTTTGGAGTACTGATCTGTTTTGGGTAAGAAAAGGCTTTAGGTGAAATTTTAAAAAGTGAATATAATCTTTTTAGGGTACGTGTGGGGCAGGATTTATGTCACCGAGAATGTAAATTTCATTTCTTTTCAAATTCTAAGGAAAACTGCCTGCAGAACGTGAGGAGGACGGAGGAGGGCGGAGGGGAAGGCTGAGGTGCCAGCCGTGTGCCAGCCGTGCGCCCCTCCCCGGGCTTAGCCCGCCGGCGAGGCTTCACCGCAGAGTCAGACTGCTGGGTCCCGGCGCGCAGGGAACGGAGGCCGGAGCCAGACAGCGGGAAGGTGAGTTGCTACCGCCGTCCTCGGGAGGGCGAGGGAGAGGCTGCAGTCTGCAGAGGCGGGCGGCGAGGGAGAAAGTCCTGCTGTGGGTGGGTCGGGCACGTGCAGGGTGGCGCCACTCTCCGGCCCGGTTGGCTTAGTTTGCTTCTTGCACAGTGCAAAATCTGACTGCCGGTGCGAATCTTTTGTAACGTCTACGGTCTCGCGTGTAGGACGCTTTGGCGGAGGCTGGCGTCCGTGTGGGCAGGGAGCTGAAAGGGGGGCAGCTGAGCGCAGAGGCGCAGGGGCGTTCACTTCGCGCTGGAACTGGCCGTGATGTGTATGTCCTTGGGGATTCACAGACCGAGCTGGGCTTCCCGAAGATGCAGGGAGAGCTGGGTCAAGGGATGATTTGTCCTTCGCATCATTCTGGGCCACACTAATGAATAATACAGAGGCGGGGCTCCTGCCTCGCGCGCTTGGTGATAAAGTGCGGTGTACCTGGAAACCCTGAAATAAGAGGGTGCTTTTTGGATTTCCCTTGCTACAGAAAAGATACTCTCACACACAAGTAATCTCACCATGAAATAAGAGCTTTACTTATTTTTGTATGTGACATTTATTGACATCTACCAACTGATGTTGCCTGAAGACAATTATACGTGAGTAAGACCAAGTCACGTCATAAAGGAATTTATCCTCCAGAGAAGGAGAAACGTGGCCAAAGCAGCCACACCCGAGCAAGAGTGAAATAAATTCTGAGTGGAGCGCAGGAGGAGGAGCGGTTGTTAATTCCGTCTGGGTGATGCTGATACAGAATCCAGTGAATGAATGAATGAATGGATATTCACCCTGAAGTTTCTATCTCTTTCTTTCATTACTTTTCTTTCCTGTTAAGAAAAAAAAAAAAAAAAAAAACCCATTCTGACATGGCATAAAAGGCATAAAAACCATTTTATGATCGTACAGACAGAAAATTTTGCACATGCTGTATGTAATCTATCATTTGCCCACCCGGACTTCTGAGCCTGTGACACAGATTCTGAAGAACCACCTCTGCAGGCTGAAAAGAATCTTGCACAAGGGGTGATCCCGAGGATCAGAGGCCTCTGCAGTTGGTCTCTTCAGTTTCACTACCCGTGTAACCCTGAGTAACTGATGTACCCCTTAACCTCTTTCAGCATTAGGGTACCAGTATTAAATGAGGATAATGTGGTAACAAAGGCTCACTGGATTGTTGTTATGTTGTGAGTTAATTCAGGGGAACTTTTGTACATTCTAAGTACCTGGTATGTTTTAACTATTGTTTTTATTTTTTATTTT